ATCCAGTTTTGCCGACTGAGATAACAATTTGCCGATTAGCTGACGAGTGGGGGGGTGTTCCCCCCCCCCCCCCACACCCCCCTGTAGCGCCGCCCCTGTTTACTATGTAATATCTTCTACTTATATTATAAACGAAATAGAAAAACTCGTCTCGTGCGTTTATGGTGTGATAATGCACTTGGGGGAATGTTGGGAGAATACTCGAGAAGTGTGTAAAACACTCGGCTACGCCTCGTGTTTTACACGCTTCTCGAGTATTCTCCCAACATTCCCTGCGTGCATTACCACCAGTGTCGGCGCCACGGGGAGGACTGGGGAGGACACGCCCCCCCCCCCCAGTTCTCTTCAAAATCAATTTTCTAATTTGTCCAAATCCGGTGATAAAAATGAGGGGGGGGGGGGTTACGTTTGTGAGATCAGTCCAGTTATTTAGAAATAACTTAATAAATTCAGTCTTTATTGTGTGAATAAAGACCAGTATTAAAAGATCATCGCTTTACTTTTGACAAAAGAACGTTTCATATATGCGGTATTTACCATTAGAATATTGCAGGCACTGATTACGACCACCGAAGGAAACTCACCATAATGGGTTAATATATTACCCAAGTTAAGTGCAAGGGGGTAATGTGCACAGTATAGGGATTGAATAGTAATCTCACTCGGGTCGGAACCTTTGAAGTTTTTGTCCTTGCGCATGTCATGCCGAGCATGTTTGGCCGCCATGTTCTTAGTAAGAAAAGAGGAGTGGAATTGTTTAGAATTGTGCTACAGCAACATGGTTTTTACACTTAAATGGCAATATTTTTCGGTTTTATTGCGCCGATCGGCTTCAGATGGATAAAAAAAAATAGAGGGGGATACTGCTTAGTTTTGGACGCGTTTGTAGTAAAATAAACAAGCAAAAAGGCGGAAAATCGCGACGAATGTCAGCTGTCAGGAGTGCGGGATATTGGGCAAAGCTGATTTTATATTATTTCCATTGGTCTTAACAAGTGAGACAAAGGTTACAATCATGTTGAAAACGTGTGTAAGAAGAAAGTCGAAGTTGTTGTCACAAACATTTGAAGTATTGCTGCAGCAAAAGTGTTTTTACTGCTGTCTATAGAATACACTGATGGAACATGTACAACCTTTATACTGAGAGACAACTGTATAAACTATTGTTTGGAACTAATGATATTCAAGATACATTTGCATTGCAAAATATTAAAACTATAATGAAGCTACTGTGTACTCATCTAGGGAGAGGTTTATAAATTCTTGCTCTCAGTTTTAACCCATTGACTAGCAATGTCCCCAAATGTCAGACAATTTTGCTCTTCACCCATTGAGTGGCACTCCCCTGACGAGAAAATCGTCTGGCATTAGACAGAGTAAAATAATAAAGTAGGCCACATTGCCACTTAAAGGGTTAAGTATTGCCACCCAGGGTGAATTCTGTGCACAAAAGTACGAACATCTCCGGCATGGATTTTCAAAATTTGCAATACAATTGATAATAAAAGTCGAGGTACAACTGCTGATCTTCTGCATGAACTTCACACAGAATGCACCTATGCTTGCCACTTAGGTGTTGATATCAGCAGGTGATAATTATGTGTCCATCACCCTTGCAGATTTGTATGGCCAAATGCCAGTAGCTAGTGGTTCTGTACCCAGGTTTTAATAATGCCAGTGGCATATTGATTAAATTATCAACTTCATGTTGTGTTGTGTTCTTGTTATATCTTTAGCAAATGTCACATTGACTGCTACATACAATATCAATTGAAATATATTTCTTCATTGCTTTATTATATAAAATTTGTTTCATTATTATTTGGGGTTTTTTTGCATAATTTAACATTAGGGTATCTTTGGTTACAGATTACAATGCTTACCATATTTCATTGTGAACACAACACAAGTAGTACTGTAAGAGTAGTAAACCCTCCAGGGCCTCTTAAGAATGTGTAATTCTTGCTCTCATCCGTGGGGGACCTAGAGAAGTTCCAGTCAGCAAGTATGTATCACTGCAGCTACCGTGCAGACTGTTGTGGTTTACCAGCTGTGGTTTACCGTGCAGACTGTTGTGGTTTTTTGAGGTAAAACGAAAAACTATATTACGCTCTATCTATATGGTATTGAGCACTGTTTGTGTTTCGTAAACCAAAATCTTAAACCAGATCAGTACTAGGATTCTGAGACAACCGAGTCGAGCCATCTAGAGGGGTCTGGGGGCATCCTCCCAGAAAATTTTGGATTTCCTGAACCTCAGATTAGCTATTTCCATCATAGCATTTTGAGGAGTGTTCTAACAAGAAATTAATCTTATAAACATTGACAAAATTACTGCAATTTTACATTCTCCCAAATGTAATCCAGTCCCAATAAGGCAACATGATGGGATGATGCGGTAATGGAAATGTGCGTGGTATAGTATTATCATTCACCACACATCAAATTCTACAGTACTGTATTACATGTATTGGGGTACTTAACATCGACACATTCGTCTTATCAGTGTCAAGAGCAGGATAGGGTAGTCTCTTTGGAGTTTCTTTGCTTGAAACAACTAAACTAGAATTTCATCCTAAAATAACATTTTATGCCTTTTTCCACAAGCAAATTATTTCAGCCATGGTTTAGGTTTCTGGCGATGTTTAAATTTCAGTTCCCTAATTCCTACCGAATCAACTGACTCGGTTGACTCATAGCTAGTGATGGGCCTACAGATGATGGTCAAATTCAGAAATGTCAACAACTGAACATCATTTTCTCACTTTGATATATAATTGCTGGTTGACTACCTACTAGTTACAGGTAGTTCTTAGGGACCTTGCACTGGGGGGAGGGGACAAAATTGCTGACTGGAGGCCAGTAAGGGGGGTGACATGTCCCGCAGTCTATATGTTAAAAGAGGCCGTGACACCCCTACCAAAAAACCTGCAAGTGGTGAATGCCCTCGGCCTTTTCTTTCGCTTCTTTGTGGGATTTCTTTAAATCAAGCAATGCATTTGGCTACAGTCTTTGGTTTAGAATGTAACATTGTTTGGCAAGTGCCTTTTTATTTTGCTCGATAATGGCAGATGTAGAGGACTTAGTTTCATCCGAAAAGAAATCTAACACTAAAAGAAAAGCAAACGTGTGGTGTTCAACAGTTAACTGTTCGAAGAGTGATAGTATCGCACTATCACATATGTTGCTGGCTATCTGCTCCATAAGTGTTCACAAAGACACAGTTGCTCAACCTGCAAAGAAGCCATGGCCAGAAATGGAGGACATCAAGCGGTCGGGCGTGCGGGCTCATGTTTTCTTGATAATTCAATGCACTATACAGATCAGTGGTTCAGTTTTGGCAAAATGGCTGTTTATTTTTACTAGTATAGCTCAGTGAGTTTTACCGAGAACTAAATAATCTGAGCACGGCAGATTTATAAATTGAAAATAAGAAGAGATAAGCTAATGAATGGCTTTCAACACATAATTTCCATTGCAAACAAGTATACATAGGGCGCAAAGGCGGAATATCCGACATTGCAAATACAACCAGATATATAGAAAACCAGCAAAATTATAAAATATAACAAACTTTACGCCAACCGAGTCTTGATCGATGCTCAAATTTCAAAAGTCTACCAATACTCAATAGTTATAAATGTTTTGAAGTCGGCAAATCAAAATTATTACGAAATCCCGCGAATTTTAGAATGTTTACGAGACTACAGCCTATATTGACAGCGGTTAAAACCATTGTAACGTAGCAACAGCTTTATAAAAGCAATGGCGGACAACAAATATAACTCTTGGGGCGAAATTTGTAATATTTTTGCTCAAAATATGGTGCATTTCTCATCACAATTGGCAGACACCTCTCCACAAAATACATGCAATTCATCGCTTTGGGGAACATACTAGTGTATACTTTTACGCTTCATACAAGTGACAATAATAAAGAGGAATACTGTACGAAGCAATTCAGATATGCACATTTGACAATATCTGTAAAGAACGAGTTGAAATTGGACTTGCAAAATACCGAATATGTCGAAATCCCATACTTTCCTATGCAGAGACTAAGCAGAGATATCGATTGCTCGGGAACATACTTAGACAACTCGAGTGGTACCAATTTTTTTACGGATAAAAGTTGGACAGAATCGGTGAAGTTTTAGATATGCACATTTTGGAATTCTGAACCGTAAGTTATCAAAAATACAAATTTTGCATTATTTCCATTCAAATTATATAAGAAGACGCCATTTTGAATTTTTATTTCGAGTCAAAATGCGCATGCTTGGCAGCCATGTTGGACTCCATTTCTGGCCATGCCAAGAGTCAAATGATCTGGATGACAATAAGACATTAGATTGTTATTTCAAGACATATGACCAAGACAAATCACAATTTGGAGGTCTGCATGTATCTTCAGCTAGTTTTCTGGAGTATGTCGTTCAACTTGAAGCAATCTTTTTCAAAAACCTCTCCATTTATACAAAGAGTTCCTCTGTTGGAGGTGATATCCTCAAGTTTAAATACTCAAGAAAGAACCTGTGCCATTCCAGTACTGTGAAGAATTCCTGCTGGAATATGTCCAAAAGCTGTTCTTAAGAATATATTACTCGTTGAAATTTGCCAACCGTTATTTTCAAACAACTAAGAAAAAAAAGGGCAGAAAATATTTGAATGTGTTGCATCTTTAATTTACATGACTTCAGTCATTATAATCGTTCATATTTTTACTAAGTTTGACATTTACATTGACAATTTAGAACTTTAGAAGTGCCTATATGCAGTGGTTATTATAGCTACTGCCATAATTTGTTCAGGTAGCCTCTCAGAAGAGAGAACAAAAACCGATCAACTTTGTTGGGCACAGAACTGAGAGGACCATATTTAGTCATACTAAAAATATTATAAAGATGAACACAGAAAAACAAGCTATAGACCAAAATATACCGCATACTGCTATTGTTGCTAAGCAGCCTTATAATATATAGTTATAACAAGAGCACAGTTTGTCATTGAAACAGCTTTTTTATTTGCGTTGAATTGCCATTTAACCATTAAAATTTGACAACTTACCTTTCTTTTACTAGTACTAAGCACAAGAAGAAGAATTCGTCCACAAAACCTTGAAATAACGCCAATTTAAGTTGGTAAACATTCAGCCCGGCTGAGCCCACTCCTAACACCTGACATTCGTCGCGATTTTCTGCCTTTTGCTTGTTTATTTTACTCCAAACGCGTCTAAAATTAAGCGGTATCCTCCTCTATTTGTTTTTTTCTATCCGTCTGAAGCCGACCAGCGCAAGAAAACGGAAAAATATTGCCATTTAAGTGTAAAAACCATGTTGCTGTACGTAGTACAATTCTAAACAATTTTCACTCCTCTTTCCTTACTAAGAACATGGCGGCCAAACCGGAAGTCAGATACTTCCGTTGGACACTTTGCACCCCCGAATGAACTTACTGCTCAATCCCTATACTGTGGTAATGTGTCATGCGGAAATTTGGTCCCGCTGCTGAGATGTGAGGGAAATATGTTAATTAATGCACCGCTCGCGCAACATATGGTCATTAGCTTCTTGGAACGCATCACTACACAACTGAAAGAGAAAAATGTTTGAACGAAGAGATCCATCAAGTGAAATTGTGTGCGAGGGAGGCAAATAGAACTTTAGAATAAGACGTATCTTAGATTTTTCATCATCGGAAATATCGGTGAGAAAGTTTACATTCCAAAAGAAATGGTACGAAGAGTACATATGACTGGAATATTCAATGTAACAACTGGAAGATTGCATACTAGCATCATATCAGCGAAGAGAAGGAAAGGAAAGAATGTAGAGTCTGTAGAGAAAGAGTCCAAAAGAAAGCTTGTACCTTGGATCTGTTTGCTCTCCTTGCTCGACGTTTTCAGCAAAGATGATCAGCACCACCTTTATCCCGACTTGTTTGAGGTCGCTACCTTGTCGCTACCTTGCCTGTGACTGTGTGACAGTGGCATCATGTGAGCGCACACACAGCAAGGTGAAAATAATAAACAATAATTTGCGAGTGGGTATGTCACCTGATAGACTCGAGGACCTTGTCCAGATTAGCAACGGACGAGATCTAGCCAACAATATTGAACTTAGCAAATTAGTGGAAATACTTAAGCTTGCAAAACCTCATAAGCTTCTCATGTAAACAGATCTACGATAACATAGTTTAGCCATTATTATTCTACCTAACAGTTATTTCCATTTGTATTTAAATATAAAATTATGTTTACTTCAATTTTCCTGGAAGTAGCAATTCCTTTAGGCAGCTGTCAATCAATGTAATCGTAGTCAATAGAATAAGAAGGTTAAGGAACTGGATACAGACATAATAGAGTTATCTATGTTTTTTGTCTTGCTTTATGCAAAAAATGGTCGGTTCATCGTCATGTGTGTATTGTATTTTCGCTAGAGTAACCAGCAGTTATGTTTTTGTTTAGCCATTGTGTAATATTACAACTGGGTAATTAAACCAGCACACTGCTATTGGTAAAAAATAATACACACGTGACGATGAACCGATTGTTCCTTGCATAAACCAGACAAATTCATAGATAATGAGCTCTTTTACTGTATGTCTGCATGGAGTTCCCTAACGGCGTATTCTATTGACTATGATGTAATACTACATTTGTAGGTCTTATATATACGGAGTCATGAAAAAATTGTGTGTTTTGTTTACTTTATAATCTTCGGAATTCTGAATAATCCTACCCTGAAAATGCAGGAAATGTATTTCAGGGACTCTGGATTTCAAAATCCATCTGCATTTTCATTTGCATTTCCGGATTTCATGCCCCCCCCCGGACCCCCTAGAAGTGTCTCGCGCCTTCACCGCTCGAAAATCCCCCCCTCCCCACTTTTAAAAGGCTGGCGCCGCCACTGATTACCACACCATAAACGCATGCGACTCGTTTTCTATTTCTTAAATAGAAACACGGGATTTTTCGCTTTTCAACCAATCAGCGCAGGCGTTATTAAAAGGTTATTTTATAAAAAGTAATAAAAATGTCAACTGTTCAAACAGTAACACTTATATAGTCTTAGAGTTTGATTCAGTATTATATTTCACAAAGTACTTCATTACAGTAAAGTATTTTCATTACAGTAAAGCTAATGTCACAATTAAAGCTATTTATCAAATTTTATCATGCGGACTGCATTCTCTATTAGGGCCGGACCATTAGATTTTTGATGGGG